CAGGTCGACGCCGAAGGCGTCGGAGAAGGCCGCGCCGGCCTTGTGGAGCGTCGCGAGGCGCCGGATCTTCTGGCTCTCCGGGAGCGCCGCGAACTTGTCCTTGCAGAACTGGGACAGGAACGACTTGAAGGCGGCGTAGCCGATGCCCGCGAGCGCCTCGTCGTCCGCGAGGTCGACGCCGTAGGCCCGCGCGAAGTCCGCGCCGGCCTTGTTGAGCGTCGCGAGGCTGCGGATCTTCTGGCTCTCCGGGAGCGCGTCCCACGCGGCCTTGATGTGGACGCCGAGGAAGGTGCGGAACTGGGCGTAGTCGAGCTCCTCGAGCGCCGCGTCGTCCTTGAGCTCGACCTGCATCGCGTCGAAGAAGGCGTCCGCGTCGACCGCGCAGAGCGTCGAGAGGCGGCGGATCTTCTTGCCCGTCGAGAGCTGCTCCCAGAACGCCTTCTGGGCCTTGGACTGGAGCTCGCGGAGCGCGTTGATGGCGTCGGCCTGGCCGTTGAAGGCGTCGACGTAGAACATGACGCTGATCTCGATGTCCCAGAGGATGCTGAAGAGCTCGGACGTCGACGCGTCCGACTCCTCGCACAGCGGCAGGCCCGGGATGCCGAAGAAGTTCTTGGCCTCCTCGCCGTTGGCGACGGCCTCCATGATCTTGGCCGCCTCGCCGTGGGAGAGGTTCTTCGCGCCTTCGGGGTGCATGATGCGGCGGACGACGCCGACGCCGCGCTCCTGGAGGTGGTCGAAGGCGGCCTGGCCGTAGGCGAAGCGAGGCACGTGCTGGATGCCGGCCTCCTCGATGACCTTGTCGATGCACGCGTAGTACTGGCGGAGGACGTCGTCGGGGTCGAGGCCCTTGGCGCGGATCTTGCGCTCGAACTGGGCCTTGAGCTCGGCCCGCGTGTAGCGGCGGCCGGTGAGCGGGTCCGCCTTCGCGAGCGCGATGGGGTAGATGTCGGAGAAGAAGATGCCGGGTGCTGGGCCGTGGCCGCAGGCGTGGAACTGGCCGTCGAAGATGTAGTCGACGCACATGTTCCCGAGGTGCGTGTAGGGCCCCGTGTTGTTGCCGATGTCCGGGTCGTAGTGGCCCACACAGGCGACCTTGATGACGATGTCCTCGTAGTGCAGCTTCTGCACGTCGGGGACGCTGAGGACGCCGCGGAGGCCCGCGGCAGCCATCATGTGGATGAAGGCGCGAAGCATGGCAA